GGACTTGAAAGTGGGCCTGAAACTCCCTCGCTGCCCTGAGATTTCTGTTCACCCCGGAGACAAAATCGCCGCTGAATTTCCTGTCCTCGAACACTTCCTGACACTGTGAAGATAACAAAGGGGAAAGTTTAAAGCAATAAACATCCCCGAACTGCCTCCCTCGCCATGTGCGTCCGGGGCTGCCGGCGCTAAGGCCAGGCAACACTCGGCTGAGGACAAACTGGGCTTTTCCATGCCTTGGCCCGACCCATGCTCTGACACCTCCTTAACATCTTTTGGGGATTTTCCTCTCCCCAGAATTCTACGGGGATTTATTTTCCCCTTCTGAAAAGGAACTTTATTCCCCTTTCTAGGCTACCCATGACAGCGTGTCCACTTCTGGCTGGATAAAAAAGCAGATGCGGTGATGCCGGCCAGTCCTGTGGAGAGGCTCCGAGTCTTACTGAACTCCGAGAATGGCTCTGGGATAGAAAGGAGGGCTGCGTTCTGCTTTCTTTTATTTTCTTTTTTTTTTTTTTTTTTTTTTCTCTCTCTCTCTCTTTTAATTAAGCAGTAGCGGGATTTAATAAGCTTGATTGTATTAATAAAAGTTAGGAAGGTTTCGTAGGCATGCAGAAGCCCACTGACAGGTTTTCTTCTGTTTTGATAGATTTAGCGCTGTTATGGTACACTTCTCCCTCACATACAGTAGCTAAGACTTGAAGATTAAAGATCGCACACCTCTAGATGAGTCAAAGCCTACACCCCGGAGCAGCTAATTCATTTCGTGATTGATTTCCCCGCTGAGTTGCTTCCAGTTTCAGCCTTGTGCGAAACCTCTTCCCCTCTCGGCACATCCATCGTACGGGCTCCTCACCACGTTCCGCAGGACAGCGAGGGGAAGTCTGAACCTCTGGGAGCCTCAGATCCAGACACTACTTGAAAAGCATCTTTTTGGACCAAGCTCCTCAAGTTTTAAACCGGAGTAGACTGAAGGAGACTTTCTGCGTGTCCGATTGGCGAGGCTGCGCTGAGCCACCGCCATGCCGTGGGACAAAAATATCTCTCCCGACCGGAGTGGGAGACTCTCCTGCGGCCAGGTCCCCTGCTCTGAACCCCGGGACGGTGAACGCGACAAGCCCCGAGGGGCGGACGAGGAGCCCTTGCTACCCCTGCGCACCCGGCGCACGGCCGCCGCAGCCCGCTACTTGCCTCAGCCCCTAGCAAGGACATTTCGCCCAGTCCTCAGAGCACCCATTTCCTCTCTTCCGAAATCGGCAACACCTCCTTAACCAGCATTTCCCAAAGCTGATTTTTCTTCTTTTTATTTTTTTTTTTTTGGTCTTCCCTGGGCATCCGTCCTAGTTTTCGCCACTAAGCAAACTCGGGACTGAATTTGTTCTTTAAGGGACGGAAAGGGTTAATCGCCACAGTCGGGTTGTCTTGGAGGTTTTTTGGGGGTTTTTCTTGCCCCCTTTCCCTGCCCTCGAATGCATATAATCTCGTTTGAGCCCCTCAACGTGATGAAAGCTAATGATTACTGTGCAGAGTCACCGACTTTTAGCAGGCTTTCCCAGCCCCCATCCCAAAAGCAAATAAATACGATAAATGGGGGTGGAGTGGGGGGGGGGAGAAACATGCATTTTCGGAAGTGTCTCATATATATATATACAAATCTCGGTTTACATATTCCTATTCACGTGTATACTCATATCATAAAAGAGAAATCCTTCACCAGCGTTTTCCTCTAAATACCTTATTCATTGAAACTGGCAGTTCCACTCATTATTCCACTCCCTTAAACCCGATTCTGATGCTAGCTAAATATAGAGCTTCGCCTTACTGGGAACGCGAATCGAATACACAGTAAGCAAATCAGTAGCACAGGAGGGGAAAAAAACCCTTGATCAAAGCCCTCCTTTTCTTCCCAATCCTGGTTTGTGGGGCGGAGACAGGTTTCTCGCTTATTGCACATCATTTGCAAAGATCAAGCTTAAAATGCAGTCATCTCTCCCAGAAGTAGTAGTTAAACCAAAAGTTAGGCGGTGGGGGTTAATAGAATTACAACCAGATTGAATTATTTTCAATCAAGGGTGTAACGGTGAAAAATAAGATGTGTTATTTCAAATCTGGGAGGAGCCGTACTTTAAGCAGGTCAGTTTTAAAAAAATATATACAAACATCCAAGAGGTGGAAAAAAATTGCATAGGATGCAGTACAGAAAAGCACCTTCTTTCTTCGGGTCTTATAAAATCCCCATAAAATGTTCTTTTTCTCAGTCACTGGGTGATTTATATACATATATATGTATATATTTTATTTTTTAATTTTTTTTTTTAATTAATCAGGCGTTTTTCCAGCTCGCAGCGCTCGAGGTCACCCCGGGGGGAGGCGGCGGGGTGGGGGACGGAAGGAGGCCCGGGCATGCCCCTTGGGGAGGGGCTGAGGGTGACATTTGCAGCGTGCCAGGAGGAAAGACACAAAAGGTCCGACGCTCTCCCGCCGCGCGGTGCCGCGGCCGCTCTCCCCGTGGCCAGCAGAGGTCGCCGCGCCGCCTGCGCGCCCGGGCGCGGGGAGAGGCCGGGCGGGCACCGCGCTGCGCCCCGCAGAGCGACCGCGCCCCGAGCTCCGCAAGGCGCACCGCGGGACCCCGGCAGCGGCAAGGAGGGCAGGGACACTGACCGGGTGCTCCCCCGGCGCGGCCCGGAGGAGCGGCGCAGGGACGACAGTGCAGCCGTGGATTTCAGCGGAATTGGCCATTCCTAACGGTTTGCCCCAAACGTGTGCCAGGCTGTCCGAAGCTGCGCGGCTCAAAAGTCTTTCAAAGTGCTTTTTGGTTTGCTCAGCTAACACAGATAATTACAACTACCATTCTGATACCTAATTGCCTAAGTATTCAGTTACATATAGAAATGTATATTATAGTATACATTAGTATATATATAGTATAATAGTACAGTATAGTAATATTCGATTACATTTAGTTATACGTATACCTAATCTTTGATGTATATTCATATACATAAACACTCCCACATGTATGTATATGGCCAGTTTCTTGGATGTGGAAGTGATCACCTAGAAGAGTTGCATTTCACACTGTTTATTTAAACGTCGAATATGTAAATTAACTGTGTGCGCGTGTTTACAACCATGTCTTTACCTCCTGACACTATCTTGAGCTCATTTCAGGGTAGTTTAGTTATCTCCGCAAGTGGCAACACTGGGTCCCGCTTCTTGTTTGAAATAAACCTGGAGGGTGTGTTTGCTCTCTCAGCTTCGGAAAGGAAAACATCTTGCAAAGTGAGTTAGAAATCCACGATGGTCCATTGTTTACTAGCTCTCTCAACAGAAAATGCGAGTTTCAGAACTATTTCTTGGCTGTTTCATTGAATCAGACTTCCTCGTGGAAAATTATTCTGCATTAATATGGCTTTGCCTCTCTTACACCCAAACTCGGTTGCCTTTCAAAAACATAAGACATTGAAAACAAGTATATTTTCCTGATGAATAGTGATTGGAGGGCACTTCTACCCTACGTTGATGAGGGCGGTATAATAGTCCTTATGGAACAGAAGACAAAAATGGGATCTAAACAAACTCGAAGGGAACTTTTAAATCCGGGTGTGGAGAGGGGGGTGTCGGAAGAGCAGGGGCGGTAGCCCTCGGGAACGGGTACAGTTCCGCACAGACTAAAGGACTGGCAACGACTAGCCAGAGTGGAACCTGCCCCTTGAAAAACACACACAAAGAAATCAGTGCCCCTGCCTAAGATGCATTTTGCCCAGTTTGGGAAACTTTCAGACAACTGCCCTGTGGAAGCCGAAGAGCGCCGTGCGCCGCTGTGCAGACGACTGCGCGGGCACCGCACCGCACCTCTCCTGGCCGCGGCTCTCGGGTGAGGACTCCCCACATCGCCTCCAGGGAGCAGCGCCGCAGGTCCGCTCCGACAGCAGGTCCGCTCTTTTTTTTCACCCCCCTTTTTTTTTTTTTCTTTTTTTTTTCTTTTTTTTTTTTTTTTTCTTTTTATAATAAGAATTTTAAGGGATTCTCTTTGGGGAAAGGCAGACGTCCTTGAGGGACAATTTAAGGTAAATATTTGTACCTTCTTGGATCTTGTCTTTAACTGAAATATTAAAGATTTTATCCACGAATTTAAGAGAAAGAGGCTGGAAGAGAAATGTAAACAGTCCCATCTCGTGGCTGGGGTCGTACTCAGCCAGCCCGCCCTACCCTCTCCAGGGCATCTCCGCCTGGGCAAACCAGAGCGTGGCACCCTCCTGGGAAAGATAAACGCTCAGGAAGAAAACAGTTGCACTAACACCACCACCAAAAAATTATATACATATATATGTATGTATGTATGTACGTATGTATGTACGTACATATGTATGTATGTATGTATATATATACACAGATATATATGCATATATATTTATAGATATATATGTGTGTGTATGTATGTGTATGTATATCCATATGGAAAATGGTACATGCGGCGCAGCTAGCCCGGGGACGGCGGAAAGGGGTATAGGAGCCCGAGAGGGGGCCGGGGAGGAAAATGAAAGGCGTGACGGGAGATAAGCGATGGCGATGGAGGAGACCGACAAGACGAAAGTATAAAGGGAAATACAAATAAGGAGCAAGGAAAAGTTGGCCGCGCGAACCCGAGCCGGGCGGCCGCGCCGCCAGACGCTGAAATATGATAATCAGGGCAGCTGCGCCGCGCCGCGCGCAGCCAATGGGCGCGCGCGGGCGTGACGTGCCCGCGCGTGACGTCGCGCCAATGGCGAGCGGGCTGAGTTGGAGCAGAGAAGTTTGAGTAAGAGATAAGGGCGAGGCGAGTGCCCGCGCCGCCAGCGCCCAGTCCGGCTCCGCCGCGCCTCCGCACCGCACCGCACCGCACCGCTCCTGCGCCGCGCCGCCACCGCTCCGCACCGCTTCCGCGCCGCGCCGCTACGCGTGGACGGACCCCGCCGCGCCCCCGGCGCCGCGCCCCACACCGCGCTTCACCGCGCCTCACCGCGCGTCCCCTTCTCTCTCCGCAGCCCTGACAGTGTCTCCCACGCCGGCGGTGTTTTGTGCCATTTTCTTTTTTTTTTTCCCTTTTTTTTTTTTTTCGATTTCGATTTTTTCTTTTTTTTTTATTTTTTTTCTTTTTTTCTTTTTTTTTGCCTCTGTTAATACTTCTACTTTTTATTATTATTATTATTATTACTATTCTTATTTTTAGCGACAGCTCTCAAACCTACTTTGGGGTCTTAAAACGAAACCGTACACCATTTCACTGTGGACATTACACCCTCTTACAGATATGGGAGACATGGGAGACCCACCAAAAAGTAAGGCGGAATCTTTACCGTTGTTGGAATAAATGTGCTGTCTATTGTAATCGTCTCAGGCAGACGAACTGCTAAAGTGTTGAACTTCATTTGAATGGTAGAGAAGGTGCCTTTGTTACCATGCCTGCATGCTTGCTCTGTCGTAGCCTTATATGTTAACAGCCTGGGGTCCTACTCTCTTAAAGTTTGGGGAACAGACAGGATTTTGATGGGATCTCCAACCACGGAGGCTTAAATTCTTCTCGTGATAAACTGCGATGAGGCTGTCTGACTATCCAGCACCTAGTCGATCTAGCGGTATTAGCATTAGACTCGCAAAAGAGAGCAAGTGACAACCGTAACGATGCTTGTTCTTGCTAGAAGCCTCGACTCCCTTCTTCTGAGGGAAAGGGCTGAGTGGGAAGTGCACCCAACCATACTTCATCGTTTCCAGTCAGAGCCTCTTAAAATACGAAATGAAACACATAGGTGCTCTCCTTGTAAGGCAGGGCATTGAAACAAGCAAACAATAAAATAAAAATTAAACAACGTGGGAGTTTGGAGTTTTGATTCCGTGCAAGGTTTGTGAAATGAGGACCTTCATCCCAAAGATTCTTCACATTTGCATTTTAACATATGTTCCGCCTCCTTTCTAAGCGAGACAAGGTTTTGATGGCACACTACAATTACCATCCAATAGTGTAATATTCTTTAAAGAAAAACAACCTAAAAACCCCAACAAACACACCCCCCCCCAATATACAAACAAACAAAAAAAGGCAGAGACCAAACAACGCTCCCACAATAAGCTTTATAAGGGAATTACATTAAAAGTGTGTTTATCTCTGTAGGAGAGCAAACGGTTAGTCAATCATGTATTTATTTTCATTTCAGAAAAACGTCTGATTTCCCTATGTGTCGGTTGCGGCAATCAAATTCACGATCAGTATATTCTGAGGGTTTCTCCGGATTTGGAATGGCATGCGGCGTGTTTGAAGTGTGCAGAGTGTAATCAGTATTTGGACGAGACCTGTACGTGCTTTGTTAGGGATGGCAAAACCTACTGTAAAAGAGATTATATCAGGTACGCCATTTACATTGTTTAACTGTTCGGTGAGATTTTATTTTTCTTTTTAACTTTATAAATCTGACGGAGGAATTAAGAGGGAAAGCTGTGAGGAAGTGGGTAAAAGATAATTGGTATGTTTTTAGGTGCTTTCCCATGAATAGACCTGAGAGGAAAAAAGTTAGTAGTGAAGTTTTTTATTTCTTCTTTTCAAATGCAAATACCTGTATCACTGGAACTAGGTTCGGGACCGTGTAGGACCTTTCTGAGGACTTTGGCAATGCATCCTGCGATTCTAATCAAGTGGTTAGATTCGCAGGTTATTGTAGATAACGAAGAATATTTTCATAAGTGTAGATATTATGAGCAACACGGAACAGATCACTTTCTAAGACAACCTGAGAAATGCATCTCTGTGTTTATGCAAAGACATAGTGGCATTCTAAAGAAAGAAACTTCAAGCACGTATGCCGTAAAAATAAATACACGGGTAGGGAAAAAAAATAAAGAAAAAAAAGAAAACCCTATTTAAACTAGGCCTATCTAAAACAAAAAACAAAAGGAAAACAAAAACAAATGCCAAATTTCCTTCGAACTGGAGGATCCTTTTTGGGGATGTTAAAAGCTAGACTGAAATGTTTCTTAGCTAAAATAACTGATATTTAATCTTTTTTAAATATTAACCCCTTTGGTGATATCTGACTGCCTTTTCTTTCTTATCTTATCTGTACTGATGAATTAGACAGAGCAGATCAAATTGCCCATCATCTGTTCGCGAACAATTGGGTATATTTAGATAATGGAGCCGCTTCCTTCCTCACATTAAAATCTGGTAACTGATAAAATGTGAGAGTTGCCAATGCTGACACTATAGAGAAACCAAAGCAGGAATTTCGAGTGTGTTTATTATTTGTGCTCCTGGGTCATGCTGATCCGTTTCAGTGTCGCCTACTGGGTTTGCCAAATCATAAGTTTGTATGACACTGAGGTATGAACAGTATTTTTTTTTTTTTTCAGAAAGTTCTGGAAGCAAAACACCTAGCCTCCTAAGATATCTTCTAATTTCTTTGTAATTCTTAATTTAAATAAAACCCTCGAGTCCTTCCTTGGCTAGTGCACAATTTATAAGCAGACTATTCTTTCAAGCTATTGTGAGATTACTCTCCAAGTTCGTAAATGGCGAAAACCAGAGTGGGTTTTTTTTATAATTTTTTACTTTTAAGAGAATACTGGAATCGTTGTCTTAAATGTTGTCCTTTCTCTAAATTCAAATGAAAGGAAAACGTTTGGTCTGAAATGTGTTCACTTACCTCCTTATAAAATTGAGCGGGAGAAAGAAAAAAAAAAAAAAAACAAACAGCTGCTTTAAATGAATACGGAATAAATTTATTTGCTACAATTAAAAAGGAAAAAGTGCATTATGTACAAGTTGGCTTTGAATTAGACCATGAGCCAATCTCTAAGTGTCAAACCGGAGGGCAATCACCGCAACTTTTGTACCTATGGTTGCACCTACTTTACGATCACTCTGTTATTTTGCTGTTTAGCCGTTTGGGTTTTTTTCCTCTCAAAACTGTTATTCGGGTATATCTAGCTGTGAATATAGTATTACTTCTATAACCATAAAAGCTAAAGTGTGTACTTACAAGCATGCATTACGTACTGTATCTCTAAGGAATATACTGGTGAGGAAATTGGTGGGGATAAATATTAGCTCAGTTTTAGGAGCAGTTTTCACAGTTCCGTGGATGGTGAGCGTGCATGGGTGCATGTACTCATACATTTATGGAAAGATGTTAGCTTTAATCATACCAAGGACTTCTCAGAGAAGCACCCGGTGGGAGACGAGAGAGTGTGCAGTTCGACACCTGAGTTGGAGCATTTTCTTATGTTTATCTACTGGTGGTTGAACGGTCGTCTGCTCCTCCATGGGAGGCGAGAATCCTGCCACCCACTCCAGAAACTCATAATTTGCTTTGTGGGCTGTCAGCGAGAGATTGCCCTCCCATGCCCTCCTTCCTCCGGTAGGAACCGGAGTTCTTGAGCCTCGGCTCAAGGTGGGAGAGTCAGGAGGAGGAGAGACGGGGCAGGGACGCTGAGGTAGAGACAAGCTGCAGAGCCAGAGCACCAAAACTGCCTTTTTGTTGGGGGCGGGAGAGAGGAGTTACACTGCTATATATGTGACCCTGAGGAGACATGTGTGCTATGCTTATACTGTTGTATTAAATTAATCTGGTGAGAGGGAACTAGGGGAAGAGACCCTGTGCTGGCAGTCATCCCTGCTGGGTCCCAGAGGCTAAGTTGACGGCAGTCCGAACACACATCGAGCGGCAACAAGTCTTGAATGCGTTCCGCACAGAAAGTATCACAATTTGGTGAAGTTGGCAGGCTTGTGTCCTGGATGGCAGCTTCGGCAGTCTCGCCTTTCCCTAGTGTGCCCGGGTAGTCCAATTCTGCCCCAGGTCAGGCTAGGTCAGGTGAGGAGGCAGGGAGAGAGCAGGGAGGCCCCACTCCTGCAGCAGCCCGAGCGCTGGGGCAAGAGGGAGAGGTCTGATATCCTCGAGAAGAAAGGGGGTGGTTTTTGGTTGGTTTTTTTTCTGTTTCTTCTTACACTTCTGCTTCCCAACTCTCCTCTTCCACCGGCGTGTTTGTGTCCACTCCGCCTTTTACGGCACGGGGGTCAGGGCATTGGCTGCAAGTGAACCCGGCTTACTCCTTTCCTCTTCTGGCCTCTGTATTTTCCATGATTTTTAAAACAGTGGATTGCGTGTGGCGCGTCTACGTGGGGCCAGGGGCTGCCCACGAGCGGGAGTGAAAACCTCTTTCTTTTTCCCTTTCCTTTCTCCCCCCCGCCCCTTCCCTGCCCTCCCCTTTCCCCCTCCCGTGCTCTCCCTCCTTCCCTCCCTTCTCCTTCTTTCTGGGCTGGGCCCTGCTCAGGTTATACGGCATCAAGTGCGCCAAATGCAGCATCGGCTTCAGCAAGAACGACTTCGTGATGCGCGCCCGCGCCAAGGTGTACCACATCGAGTGTTTTCGCTGCGTGGCCTGCAGCCGCCAGCTCATTCCCGGCGATGAATTCGCTCTGCGGGAGGACGGCCTCTTCTGCCGGGCAGACCACGACGTGGTGGAGAGGGCCAGCCTGGGCGGCGGGGACCCTCTCAGCCCCCTGCATCCCGCCCGGCCGCTGCAGATGGCAGGTACCGCCCGCGCCCAGCGCCGCGGAAACCCGCGGGGTTTGGCGATGCCCGGTGCCGCTCCGGGCGGCGGGGACAGCCCCACGGTCCCAGCGGGACCCGCGCCTCCCTGGAGAGCCGGGCCCGAGCGTGCGCGCCCGCGGAGAGGCGGCGGCGGAGGCGCGCCTCCCGCTCGGGGCTGCCGCGGGTCCAGCTGCCCGCGTTCGCGGGAAGAGTGAGGCGGAACACCTGCGGAGGGACCGCGCCCTCAGCCTGCCCTCCTCCTGCCCCCACCGCGAGCCGGGTGCGGGATTCCTCCATCGCTCTCCCCGAGCCGTGAGCCTGAGCCGGAGAGGGGCGAGCCGTTGCGGAGAGCAGGTCTGCGCTTTCAGACGTCTCCGCTGCCTCAGGAGCGAGCGCAGAAGTTGTTCTGAGCGCTAGAGGAAGTGGGGTCTGAAAAAAGATAGACTTCATAACTACAGGCTGGCGCTTAGGCTGTAATTTAAAACTGTCAACAAGCTAATCTTCGGTAATTGCTTTTTAAAGTGACTCTTGCCTTCTTGAAACGTTTCATGTAATTTGATGAGAATTTCATCTCAAAACTCAGTCTCGTAACTTCAGAGTCGCCCCACCTTACAGCTTCATTCACACTTCCAGTTCTCGACTGGTACGTCAGATACTCAGAGACGCTCAGCTTTAGGGACACTTCTATGAGGCTAAGTAGGCTGGACAATACAAGGTTGGCCAGCCTTTTTGCTGTGCAAGTAACTGTAACTTGGAAAGTTGTTTGTAAGTACAGCTATTCTAAAACGGGTTCATTTTCCTCTTCTGAGCTGCTTTCAAGTGACATATCTATATATAGGGAGAACTAATCCCGTAACTGATCAGGGCAGAATTCTAGAGAGACTGTGCTCCCTATATCGTGTTTGTGCATGTCTCCGAAAGGCTTAGTGTGTCGGCAGGTACAATACTGATAAGATTTGAAGCCCCCGTATCGTCGCCATCACATTTGCTGATGTATTGTTACAATTAGAAAAGTCGGAACCCGACTGTACAAAAGCGAACACTTCTGACTGTTAGCTAAACAGCTTTAGGAGAAAAAAAAAAAAAAAAAAAGGTACTGTTTTTGTTTTTCCGTTGACTGGGTCAAATTACACACAACAGCTACAGCTACACAACGCACAGAAGAATAGCAGAATAGCAGAACACCAGGACCACTTCGAGCTCTTGATGTGATGCCACCCATAGTTTTGCATTTCTTGGCAGTTTCCACGAATTGCTGGGCTTGCTCTCCTTTTAAAAGCACTATAAATATTTTTTAATTATTCATCCCAAGCATAAGCAAATGCACAAAGCACCTCCACTTTTTAAGATAAATCTCATCTCCCGTGCTTTGAGATACAGAGCTCTCGCAGGCTTTTTTTTTTTTTTTTTTTCCCCATTGGCACGGTGCAGAGGATTTGGCTTGATTTGCTCTGGTTTGGAAGCACCAAACTGCCGGGAGCCGTTGCACGTTATCATGGCTTCTGGCTAAAATGAGCTAGATTCACTATAACAGAAGCAGACCCGAATTATGATTAATTTAAGAAGTATTCTTTCGCTAATTTTCGGGCGAACGGTCTGTTTTGGTGATTTGTCAGAAAATAAATACATAAAGCCCTCTTACTCCTTTTCTAGGGCACATACACCTTAGCTAACTTGCCCTCCCGTGTCAAGTTTCATACAGGTTCAAGCTTCCGTCATTAGGGGTTTTAGGGGGGTGGTTTGTTTTTGCGAATTAATTGTCTGTGGAGTTAGAAATGTCAGTCACTCCACCAGTGCATAAAGCAGAGGAGGCTGCAGCAGCTCCGATAGATCTGAGTGCTTGAATGGCCTTTGAAAGAAGGTTCATCACCCGCCCCCCGCCCGCCACCTTCCCCTGTCCCACCAGTTTAGATTCATAGTCTCTGCAGACTCCCTGCTTCCTACTCATGGGGATCCTGTTCCTCCCTTCCCCTTCCCTTACAGCAGAACCTATCTCTGCCAGACAGCCAGCTCTGCGGCCCCACGTCCACAAGCAGCCCGAGAAGACCACCCGAGTCCGGACTGTCCTTAATGAAAAACAGCTTCACACCTTGAGGACCTGCTATGCTGCCAACCCCAGACCTGACGCCCTCATGAAAGAGCAGCTAGTAGAAATGACTGGCCTCAGCCCGAGGGTCATCCGGGTTTGGTTTCAAAACAAGCGATGCAAGGACAAAAAAAGGAGCATTATGATGAAGCAACTTCAGCAGCAGCAACCCAATGACAAAACTGTAAGTGGCTTCAGCCTCTGTCCGTGTGTTGCTTTAATTCCCAAGGAGAAACGCTTGATGTATGTCCAGCCGGACAGCACCAGTGCTCAGTTTGATGCTGTTAATTTTTTGCGATCTCCCTGAAGCAATGAAAACGATACCGTTTAGCCATTACCTGTTAGCTTCTGCTGTAAATGCAATCGAAACAGACCACAGCGAGGAGCCGATTTAGGCTTAGAATTGGTGGGACTAAGAATACACAGGAGCTTAGACTAATTTCTCTGCAGCATGAATGAGACCTACAGAGCTTATGGGATGTAATAAACTCGGTCTCTTCTAATACTTAAACTGCAAATCCAAAGGACTCCTTAAGGAGAAAGTGATGTCTTTGCCCTCTTCCGTATTTTTAAATATGAGTAAATCCACAAGTAAAAATAGTTTAAAAAAAAAAAGTAAAAATAAAATAAGAGGTGCTTTTCTCAGCACTTTATATACTACAAAGTGTGTGTGTTTATCAATGCACTTACTGCAGATAAAGACAAATGCAATGCAAATTTTTACAGGTTTACAGGGTAATTTTGATATAGTTATATCTATGTAGAGCTCTTTTCTACAGATGCATGGGTGATGTAAACAAGTGGAATGCACTGGGCTCAACAGAACAAATTGTCTGTCTCCATTTTAAGCTAAATTTGTTTCATTTTATTGTTGTTGTAAGTCCACTTGAAGAAGAGTCTGTTACTCTCCCTGTGTATATTGACTGACCCGAGAATGACTATTAATTCATAAGGCTGCCTAGTTAAGTGGAATTTAAGGAGTTTCATTTTACCCTGCTGGAATGCAATAAAACACGGTGTTATTAACTCGCCTGAACAATCTATTCGTCGAGGCTTGGAGTTATGTTGGACACTGTGCCTGAACTACAGGGCATACTGAGAGAGGGCTGGGGTGGTTTTGTTTATTTGTTTATTTGTTTGGGGTTTTGTTTTTATTTTTGTGTTTTTTTTTTTTTTTTTTTTTTAAAGAGCGCAGTAATGACGTACCCCAGGTCTGCCGCGCACTGGATATATGATCCAGTTAAAACAAAACCAGACTGAATGCGAACTATAGAAGGGAGCAGGATTACCCGTTTCTCGCTCTGAGACGTCCATTGGCAGTCGGGATACAGAGTGCTCGTGTTCAAGAGAGCATGGGGCAGAGGGGGTATGCCTTGGGACGAATAGGAGGATTAAAGGGAAAGAAAGTAAACTTCCACCGTGATAAATGCAGCGAGTAGAAACAGGCTGACCTAGAGTAGAATAGACTAAGACATTCACAGCAGATTAACAAAGCAAATACAAGCGACAGTATAGATAAGATAGAAAGCAGTTTATTGACTCAGCGGTTATATACAATAAAGCTAACCAAGCTCATTAACATCTTTTGCTGGGCTGTTTACAGAATATCCAAGGGATGACAGGAACTCCAATGGTGGCTGCTAGTCCGGAGAGACATGACGGCGGTTTGCAGGCGAACCCCGTGGAGGTGCAGAGTTACCAGCCGCCCTGGAAAGTACTGAGTGACTTCGCATTGCAGAGTGACATAGACCAACCTGCTTTTCAGCAACTAGTAAGTGTCGGTTCCCAGCCCGAGCCAGCCTGTACCCGGGTCAGAGCAATGGGCGATTCACTCCAGGTGCCAGATGCTCTCAGAGAGACAAGCAATGCAGATTAGCTGGGTTTTCCAGAAATTGCAAGGCAGGCATGACTGCATCTATAAAAGCAGAGAACTGAATTGATTTCACAGAGCTTGGAGCAAAATCGACCTTAATGTAGAGCAGAGATATTTCTGAGTTGAGTGTGAGTTTGGATAAGGCCTGACTCAGGTCTGATAATAGATCGCACACTCCTGAAAACTGAAAGCACTTCACCAAGACATTCCTTATATGTCACTTAACTGTACTTACATTTGTGAAAACAGTTTCTAGAGTTCACCCCTCCCCACTTCAGGCTGATTTTGCCTTTATGTTGTAGGATTAATTTTAAATACATTATTATAGTGTCAGCCATTGTCCTTGTTTTGTCAATTATGATCTCTTAATTAAGATTTCAAAGTCTGTGTCTTAAGCATGTATTTCTAGATATAACTTTATGTATCTATATATACACATGAATCTATACATACATCTATATATATATATATATCTTACATTAAGTGTTGTTCTTTGGAAAGGAATTTGCTAGTACCTATTTAGGTGAAAAATTCAAGCAATATAATAAACTACCTTAAGTCAAAATAAAAATAGACCTGTTAGAATAAATTCTTTCCTTAACTCATTTCCTTATGCCTACGTCCCTTGGCAGCCAATATGGGTCCATATCACCAACAATGCTTAGGCCCAACAAGGTGAATTAAGGAGAGAAGTTCTTAAGTCAGTTTCCTGGCCTGAGTGTGTTAAAACCAGATCTTTAAAATAATAAGGTACGTTGTATATAGTATTTCAGGGATGCAGAATAACAGTTACAAAAAATTAACATGCAAACATTTTTTTGATCTGTTGGGCTTTTTTTTTTCTTTTTTCTTTTTTCTTTTTTTTCTTTTTTTTTTTTTTTTATACCAAGTGATGGAAGACAAAGGTTTGTAGCTGAATCTAGCACTGTGTTCAGACCTTTTCGGTTTAGTATCATGCCCTCCTGCAGAATCCCTTTTCTTTTGCCCAACAGCAGTCTGCAGTGTGCTCCCCTTGCTGGCACACTATGCTTGCTCAGGAAACAGTAGCACAGCAGCAGGGCTATTTGCATCCTCTTACATCTAAAGTAACCACTGCTTTAATCATGCTGTCCATCAGACGGTAGAAAAAATTATCTCCTTTAGTTGCTTTACTTACTGTGCCTTAACAAAATACGAGACTTTAAAAGTCTTTGATGCAGTGAGATTTTGTATTAAATAGTTCAAGAAACAGGAAAAAAGGGAAGGATGGAAGATGGATAGTCTAAATACACATACACATATAGGCAAATAGACAGTTAGGTTAACAAATTAATAGATATACATTTGACATAATATGTGATACTGAAAAGAGTTAAAGAACAGTGGAAGGAACAGACTGTTTACTGGCCATTCAAGGCATGGATCTAATCTGGAAAGGGCCTTAATCACAGAATTGGCCAGCTAAATAGGTGCCAAAGAAATGCTTCTGGATTAACAAAGCTCCACCCTTCAAATCATGCCTTTTCCCAGCACTACTCCTAAACTAACGGGAGCAGCGGGGGCACGTTAGGATGGAATAGTGTGACCTTTTTTATCAAACAGACTCTCATTAAGAAGAGATAGCACCAGCTGTAAGTCACGAATGAAAGAGGATGGCTGGTTTCAAATGCCTTCTGTTCCTGGATGCTCCTTCCAGGTTTATTTTGGTATGTGCACAAAAGGGGAAAAAAGTAATCTTTCAGTTTCATGTCGAGAAAACATATGCACTCCTAAATAATTGACTAGAACATCCTATTGGGATTGTCACACTCACAAGACAGGAAAGAAAGCCTCATTAATAAGTTTGTTTGTTTATTTGCTTGATTTTTTCAGTCTTCTTTTTCCATTTTTTAAATCACTTTTTCTTGGTGATTTGGCCGAAGGCCTGAAGAAGGTTACTGTGAAGTCAATGGGGAAGCTAAACAGAGCAACCAGCAGTGACACAGCCTCCTGTGGAGATGTATCAGGCCTATTGGCTGCATGCCTTGTATATTTATTTTTGTGTTCTTCTTTGCCTGCTACTTTTCTTTGAGTTTTACAGTTGTAGCAACAGTTCTTTTTCTTATTTTTCTTCTTTTTTTTTCCTCTCTCTTTTTTTTTTCCTTTTTTTTTCTTTTTTCCTTTTTTTTTTTTTCTTTTTGGCAGGTTAATTTTTCAGAAGGAGGACCTGGTTCCAATTCTACTGGAAGTGAAGTAGCATCAATGTCCTCACAGCTGCCAGATACACCCAACAGCATGGTAGCCAGTCCTATTGAGGCATGAGGAACATTCATTCAAATATCTGTTGTTGTTTCTGCCCTTACCCTCACCCCTGTTGAAGAGAGTGGGAAAGTGAACGTGTTGGGACTTCGAAATTTAGGGGGAAAGAATATTTAACAACCCTGTAATGAACCTAGCAAGCAACTGCTCCATGAGATGAACGGAGTCATATTTGAAAAGACAAGGTAATATGGTAGCAACACTGTGAAGACAATCATGGGATCTTACTAGAAAAAAAAATACTTAAAAGAACCGCAAACCCTGCGCTTTTCAAAGATCAGAGGAGTATCGAAAAGACGTTTTCCAAATATAAAGGATTTGTACTCGTGGATCTCAAAAAAAAAAAAAAAAGAAATCTTTTCATTTGACTGCACATCTTAGGGAGAAACCAAGGTAGAGGGACTTTCTATCCAGTCCCTCCCATTCCGAATGGTGCTGTTTCTATATTGGGGATAGCCTTGCCAAAAGACGCTCCAGTAGGTTTTCCATCATCAGGAAAGAGACAATTCAGCCCTGCACTGTTGAAAGATTCCTTGCAGGAAGGTGGAGCTGCATTGGTTTGCAATGTTGTTTTTAGTTGACTCTTAACAAGGGGTTCTTTCCTGGGTCTCTTCTAGCATGCCTGTAGCGGGGTTTTGATTTTGTTTGGTTGAGATCCACCCCCTAATAAGTGTGATGCGATTAAAAATAGGTTTTTGAATTCCTCTTTAAAGGCGAATTTATAAAAACATTGCAACAAGGTATACCTCTATTTTGCCACAAAGCGTCTCGGGATTGTGTTTGAAATGTGTCTGCCCAAGAACCTTCCCCTTCCCCAGAGATGTGTATAGTCATTGGTTATAACGACTGTTTTTCTCTCTTTCCTTTCCTTTCTCTTTCTCTCTCACTCTCTAGAAAAAAAAAAAAATAGGAAAAAAGTAAAAAAAGAAAAAAATAGGAAAAGTAAAAAGAAAAAAAAATCACTCCTTTTGTTTGCTCTTGCATTGCAAAATTATAAAGTAATTTATTATTTATTATCGGAAAACTTGCCACTTTTCATGTCAGTTGACTATTTTTTTGTTTGCTGAAGTAAAAAAGAAAAAAAAAAAAAAAGAAAAGGTTGTACCGTGGTCTTTGAATTATATGTCTAATTCTATGTGTTTTGTCCTTTTTCTTTCCTTAAATATGATGTGAAATAAAAGCGCCATATGTAGAATTATTATATCTTCAGGACTATTTCACTAGATAAGCGTTTGGAATAGAAAAATAATAATAATAATATTAATAATAATATTAACATTAAATAATGAACAAAGTTCCCTCTTTTAAATATTTACAGGTTAGCAGCTAAAATACCTGAAATAAAATATTGCATGCAAAGCCGGTCGTTAGTGAATAAAAGGAGTGTGATATTTTATTGCAAGTATTAACGACCAGCTTGTAAATTTCCGTTTCAACAACTGTATCAGGGCTAGTTGGATGCCTTAGCTTTCAATCAATAACGTTAGAAAGTCTCTTGTTCCCCCACCCCATCCTTTGCCCTTAAAAGCGATATTACTCTAGGCATGATCAGACATAACGTTAAGACATCTAAATAACTGAGAGCTCAGGCTTTTTGCTGAGTTCTGCTATTTTTAAAAAATAATAAAAAGAAAGTGCTGTATACCAAAGCCTCGTTGTTGAGATTGTTGAAGTGACCTGTACTTTAAGTATAAGCTCCCGATAAAAAGGGACGCTTTTTGCTTAACAAGTCAAGTATGACCATTATTTATCAATGTCTGCTGTCAAAACAATTGAATAATGCTGCAGGAGGAATAGTTGTGGGGATATTTCTGTCGGGGATATTGCTGTGAAATTGCACGAATATGTTCCTTATTTTCTGTCGACTTCCCTCTCTTCACTCCCTCTTTTCTTCCTTTTTTAATTTGTGGGGGAGAGGGTGGTGAAAGCTAGAAACGTGGGCGATTTCTTGGGGAAAAGTAGAAAGAAGTAAATAAAAAAAAATGGGAAAGGGTTGTTTTTGCTCCAATCCAAGTGCTCCCTAGTGCTCCCGGGCAGCACAAGACAAAGGTTCACTTTAAAACACCCTTAAGGACTGGAACGTACAGAGATTTTCAGTCTGACAAAGACAAGTTGGTTTGCATGTCAGTTACTCCAAACCCCAATGTTTTCTTAACATAACCTTCTTTTCCCTCCCTCCTCACCATCTCAGCCCACCCTGAGCAAGCTCAGCTATAGACAAACCATTTCGACAGTACAGAGAACATTAAAAAAATGTTAAAATCTAATACAAGGATTTCAATCATCCTGATTAGAAACTGGATTCATTTTGTATGCTCAAGTGTAATACATTTTTGAGTACTTGATAAATATTTAAATAAATATGAAATCTACCTTAAACTGTGTGATCAGTAACCCTTGTGTTTTCATGCAGGATCAGAGGATTGGTACGGCGCTTCGGGGGGCGGGAGGGAGAAGGGGTATAATTTCTGCCCGGTGGTCTGACGTGTAAGTTGTTGGAGTCGCTCTTACTTGGGTGAGTTTGGAGACAGAGTCTCCGACTCGGGAGGGTCTGTAAGCGGCGCTGGAAATCTGTAAGGGCAGGGCAAGCTGGGGCGCTTTGCGCTCCCCCTCGCCGCCGGGGGGCTAAGGTGTGGTGGAAGGAGCGGCGGCTCCGCGGGCGAGACGGGGTCACGCAGGGCGGGGGGGACCCCGAGAGAGCGTAACCTGGGCACCGGGGGGCTGCCCCTCAGTCCCCCGCCCCCGAGAAGGACCTTCGGGAGGCTCCGAGGGCCACGCAGGAGGGAAAGGCGACTTTGCACTGTCGGTCCTTGCGAGGGAAAGGCCCCCCAGCCCTGCTAGGCGCCCCGCGGTCCCGGCGCGCCCTCCGGGCGGCTGTGGCAGCCATCGAGATAAGCAGCCCGTCGGGAGGCAGGGGTTGACATTTGGGCTGCCAGCACAGCGTCTTGCACCCTGAAACGCCCAGGGCAACAGCGTGTGCTTGGAGCCGGAGCTCTGCGGCCGCTCTTCTGCAGCTGCGGGCCGGAAGCTCACTCGGGATGTGCCTGCACGCACACCTACCTCCAGGCTCCTGCCTGCACCCCCGAGGCAGCCTGAGGCCCCCAACCCTGTCCGGGGGACTAGGAAGAGTCGGGTTGCCTCTGCGGCGGCCACTCTGGGGTCTCCGTGTCCCCACGGCCACTGCGGCCCCCACACCCGCGGTCATCCCGGAACATCCGCGCTCGAAACTTCGGTTAAACAATACTAGTCTGATTTTCAGAGTTTTTTTCCTTTCATGGCCTTTGGGTCCCTTCTTCATTACATGCATTTGTGAGGCCCCACAAACTATCGAGTGTGTTCCACCATGAAGCAAATAAAGAAAAACTTTCGAGCTGATCCTCCTAGTGCCTCCGGCAGAACACTTCCTGAGCTTGGACAGCAGGATTTGTGTAAGCGAGAGAAAAGATCCTCTTCATGAAATGCATGTCCTTATGGTGCTCTGTCGGGTCTGTGATCTGATTCCCCTTTCCGGTATGGACCGAGGGTGGCGATTAGCAGTCCCAGAAAACCACTTTCTTGCTGCAGCTACTCTTAATAGTGTCATATAAGCTCGCTATAATTTCTCTGAGGACTTTGTTTGCACACACTGAGATCAATATTCAAACTCTTCTCATTTCAATATTTGTACCCAGGTTAATTAGCTCTCAGCATCCCCAGCCAACGTGGCAGTGTGACGCGGAAGCCTGGTACGTGAATTCCACAGTTGAGATCAGTTAAACACCTCAACAGTAAGTGTTTGCATTTATATACATCTATGCATACATATATTAAATTCACCTTGGGTTACCTAAGAACGGATGTCAAAGAAGGAGCTAGGGGCCCTCAGGCGATGCCAGCAGTCAGGCCTCAGAATCCCCAGCCCCAGCACAGCGCCCGGGACGGAGACGGGGAGGGGTAAGGGTCCGTGGTGCCGAGTGGGTTTCACGGGCACTGATCCTCCCTGGCCCTCCCTACACGCTCGAAACGCCGAAAGCGTTTTACGGTGAGAGATGCCGCTGCTGGGCGCTTTGCGTGCTTTAGAGGAGCTGTAAGTAGTTAATAAAGGGGCTGGAAAGAGATCCTGTTTACTGATTGTTCCTGATTGTTGTTTTCTTGATAACAGAGCAAGCCACTGAATGACTGTTTGAGCTCAGGCGCCACAAACATAAACTTAACAGCTCCCAGTGTGCCGGCCCTTCTGGAGGATCACTCCTCACCTCCCAGGGCTTGTGAAGTGCAGGAGGAGAAGGCAGCTCCCAAGGAAGCAGACTCCGGGGTGATGGGGGTGGTGGTGGTGGGGAGCGGAGAAAACTCGCCTGTATACCCGATCTTTCCATATGACACGGTATCTGCTTTCATTAGCTAGGGGCAAAGCGTACAAAATCAATAGGTACTTTTCTCCGAGCCTCCTACCCGTGCCGGAGCTCGGGGTAGGCTCTGGATGCTGCCCTGCGCAGCATCCCAGCCGAGAGATGCTGCTTTATATTACATCATGCTGCAGTGTCCTGTGAATCTCCTTAAATTTTCTTGCAGCGGCTGAGGGCCACCAAAGAAGTGCTTGCTGTAGGCCAGGGAGGGAGCACGAAGGAGACAAGGAGGGCGCGCAGTCTCTCCGCGGCAGATCCGCGCCGGTTCTCCCCGGATCCGCAGCTCCGGGGCAGCACCTCCAGCCGGCGGCCCGGCCTCACTCTGCCGCGGCTGCCGCTGGATGAGCCACCTGCAGCCTCGGCTCTTTTCTGGGGTGTGAGGCGCGGGAAGGAAGGAGGGAGGGAAGGAGGAAGGTTGCAAAACAGCATTTTTTTTTGCTGGAGTGTCTCTTCCTCTTTGTTTTATTTTCTTCTGAAAGACAAAACAGAGGTAAAGGTGTTTTTGTGGGAAAGAGAGAAGACACGAAATTTTCTAGAAGTGGCAAGGGCCAAAGCAGATCTCGGCTTCTATCTCCGGGCAGACCTCGTGTGGCAATGGGAAGAGGAAAATAGGGTGTT